GTCTTCAGACTGATATCATTACTCTTCAGTACTTTGGAGTATTTTGACAGCTGACTTGCCCAATGCAATACACTCCTGATCCCCTAACTATCAGTAGAAAGTGTGTTGATTGTTAATTCAAACAAGTTACCCACTGAACCATCTTAAATTATATTCCCTAGTTATGTGGACATAATTATTAAAGGAAATTCCTTGGAAGTAAAGACCAGTTCAATATCATATTTCGACAATGAGAGCTTACTCAGAAGTTTTTTATATGCAAAATCACACTAGAGATTCTTATAAAAATGCCTATCAAGGTATTTGTTCCTCAACTACTGAAAAAAATAGGAAGTAATATGAAAATTCTCTAAACACGTGGCTAAGGAAGAATCCCTAAACCATGAAAATGGCTGAAAAGGTCAAGGGTGAGAGAGGGTCATCAGACACATTAGTCCAGTTCAGTAAACAACTCCTATTAAGTGTTAGCATACTTTTTTGGTAGTAGCATGACCCAGCAGCCAAGGGTCAAATTCTGGGTTAGGATGCTGGCTTTGCCATTTACTAGCCATGTGACTTTAGTCAAGTTTCTTAACCTCTCTGAACCTCTGCATTGTTCTCATCTATAAAATAAGATTAAACAAAGCAATACCTAGTTCACTGAGTTTATATGAGGATTAGATTGTGTTGCTGCCATTGTTATGTGCCATCGAGTTGACTACAACTCCTAGCAACCCCATAAAAACAGCTCTGAACCTTGCCCTATCCTGAGTCAGCTTCACAGTCTCCAGCATACTTGACCATAATGTCACAGTCATGGTGTCAATCCATCTCATCCGGAGTCTTCCTTACTCGTGCTGACCTTCTATCCTTTCAAGCAAGATGCCCTTCTCCAAGGATTAGCCCTCCTGGCAACATGCCCAAAGTACATGAGATGGAGTTTCAAAATTAGTCAGTATTTATGAACCACCTCATTGGAGCTGTGATCATAAGAATTATGAAACTGCTTATTAAATAAAATAACTGGCTGCCCTTTTGGCTCTTTAAGCAGCACTGTGGTCATCAGTAACAACAGGTGTCTTACAAGAGGAGGCAACAAAGGAGCCAAAAAAAACCGTGGTTGGCCAATTTCTACTAAAGATTGGTATGATGTAAAGGCACCAGACAAGTTCAGCATAACAAATAATGGGAAGACACTGGTCACAAGGACTAAAGGAACTCAAGGGTTATGTTTTTTAAGTGAGCCTTGCTGATTTGCAAAGCAATGAGGTTGCATTTAGAAAATTCTGGAGATGTTCAAGACAAAAACTGCCTCACCAACTTCCACGGCATGTTTCTTACTTGTGACAAAATGTATTCCATGGTCAAACAATGGCGAACCATGACTGAAGCTCATGGTGCTATCAGGACTACTGACCGATACTTGCTTTATCTGGTTTTTGCTGGTTGGTTTGTTTTTTTTTGCTTGTTTGTTTGTTTGTTTTGTTGGGGTTTTTTTTTTTAAAAAAAGCAAGAGAGAGATTTGGAAGACCTCAGATGCTCAGCACCAACAGGTCCACCAAATCTGGAAAAAAATTATTGAAATCATGACACAAGAGATCAAGACAAATTACTTAAAAGAAGTGGTCAAAGCTATTCCACTACTAGGAATATACCCCAAGGAAATTAAGACTGAGACTCAAATGAAGACTTGTACACAAATGTTCATAGCAGTGTTATTCACCACTGCAAGAACATGGAAACAGCCCAAATATCCAATCATAATCAAATGGATTGAAAAATTATACATTCACACAGCACTTAGGAGCAAGGATTTGAAAAAATACTACATAACTTGGGAGAGACTAGGGAGTATTATGCTGCATGAACTAATTTAGTCTCATAAGGACAAATATAGCATAGGACCCTTACTGTAAGAACAGAAGTATAACAAATAAAATGTGAAGGATGTCCAAGGAGGGAAGGTGTAGGAGAGGAGGGGGGAGGATGGGTAGGGGACAAATCACAGGGCTGCACAATTTGGTGAGTGGAGGGAGAAAGTAAAAGAAATGGGAAAGCTCCATCAGAGACCTGGAAAGGTGAGATAATGATGAGCATGGTCCAATAGTGATTTATTTTATAAAGTACAATGTATGGGAATAATTGTATGAAACATAATGCCAACAAAGAAAAGTATGAAACACCAACAAAACCAAAAAATGTACATGTCAATGAAGGAAAGTGTGAAACATAGAAACCCCCCCAAAAAAAAAACCAAACCCATATATATGAATTAAACAAAGTGTACATGAATAATTTATATTCATAGTGACATCCATTTCCTTAACAACATGCCTCTGGAAAGTCTATGAACTTTAGAAAGGTTTCAGGCCTTTTGTTCACAACGTTGCCAAGAGTCGTGCTTGACTCAATGGCAATCAACAACAACAACATATGAATAATTTATATGCATACCAATAATAATATGGAGGAAGAGGAAAGAAGTGGTCAAGAAATAGATTCCAGACACCGTTAGGAAATACATAGAAAAGCTTGCCAGTCTATTTATCCTCTGTGTGATGTATTTGTTAGAAAAGTAAAAATGCTGACAAAACCCAAGTTAGAATTGGGAAAACTCCTGGAGCTTCATGGTGAAGGTGGTAGCTCTGAAAAATTGACCAGAGAGAAGACGAGTGCTAAAGGTGGACGAGCTGATGGCTGAGCCACTAGTTCAAGAATCTGTTCAAAACTCAGACTTTTAATAATGATAAATGAAAGTTATTAATTTTTTTGAAAACCCCTCACAAGCCACTAACTAAATAATTTTGAACAATCTGTACTTCCAAATTCCAATTTTAAATAGAACACACGCATGCCAAGTATAAAATGCTTACATGAGAAATCTGAAAAAAAAAAAACCACACCAAACCCAAAGCAAAACAAACAAAAGAAAAACAATTCTGAAAACCAAAATGCAAAATAAAATTTTTTAAAAAGCAGTTCTGAAGCATTTATTGCATACTTCAGGGCTACAGTGTATTTCTAGAACATGTCTGCAGACTTACAAACTATAGATAGCCAGCTAGGCTTTGCATCTTTATAAAGTTTTCTCTACATTTGGTTATTAAAAGCATGTGTGAATAATCTTTCATGTAAAAATTGAATTTGCATTACAATTCTGTCATCTAGTTTAAGGTCTAAAAGTAGAGTTGTGGCTGTTAAAGGGATTCTTTAAACCTAACTGTTAACTACATAAGAAAAACTATGTCAGCAAGTGACAGCTTTAATTACCAGTTTGTTCAGCCACTACCAACCACTCTGCTTGACAGTCTTACTCTTTCTAAAAATAAGAGTCAAAAGTGGTGTGACACAGCTCTCCAGGGGAACACGGATGTTTCAGAGGAGGGGAGGGAGCCTGTCCAATGGGGCCACGTCACAGCTGTCTGCTGTGGAATTTTGAGTCATGGCATGAGTCTTACATAGGAGAATAGAAGACTCGCAGGAAAAGACAGGAGTAAATAGGGGCAGCTGGGTTGGCTGAGATGCTGAGGACATCTGGGATGAGGAGGCAGCTGAGATCACTCATTTGGATGGCAAGAAAGGAGATGAATTCAAGACCTTTCACCTCCTATAACTGTAGAAATTCATGAACATGATAAAGATGAAATCTAACCTCTCTTCTTATTCTTCAATAAGAATAAGTGCTCTGAGACACATTTAAAAAAAAATTTAGAGAGCCAACGTCCCCTGCCATGCAAAGAAAAAGTCTGAATCTGTGTTGTTCATGGCAATAGTCCCAGTGGTTCAATAACCGTTGGTTGAATTCATTAACTGAGGTGATGATTTTCTTCTTTATTTTCTCCTATGAGTGAAATGGCTGGAGTGAGCCTGATTCTAAAAGACAGGGCATCATTTGATGGTGGGTGGCATACTTAAAACTAGCAAAGTTTCAACAATGAAGAAAGGTAACAGCAGAATCCCTGATTCTCTTTCAAATCTATCACTTCAGTGATTTCCACCAGGCTTATAGTGAAGCAGAAGCCACGTGATGAGGCTTTTCGAGCACATACTTTGGATTTGCACACACCTCTTAATGACTTTCACTTAACCAGAGAAAGAAGCACGGCTTATTTCGTATTAGGAGTGTCAGTCTTTAATCTGGCAACTAAATGTTTTCCCCCTTATTTTTCTTTTCCCTTTCCTTTCCTTTCCTTTCCTTTCCTTTCCTTTCCTTTCCTTTCCTTTCCTTTCCTTTCCTTTCCTTTCCTTTCCTTTCCTTTCCTTTCC